AAAAAAAAAAAAAAAAAAAAAAAAAAAAAAAAAAAGAACCAATATTCCATTGTGCACAAAATATTATATATTCTATTCCGACAGAAAGCAGTTAAAAAAACCTGCTATACACGAGGGGGGAGAGAGAGAGTTCTTGATTTATTTTTTTTCACGAATGGGAGTGATAAAGGACTAGTCTCACCAGATTGTCGCAGCAAGGCCGGTGTTATTAAGAGCCTTATTTACTCGTTTTTTCTCAACATATTTTCTTACTTATATTGCTGATACTTCTTTTGTGTGTGTGTGTGAATTATAGAGAGAGATCCAGTTCTGCATCTATCAGCTAGGGCTCTTGAGGTTGACATCACAGCAAACGGTATCTTTTAGCTGTTTTTTCGCTATATTTCAGTTATAGGTGCTTGCAAATGAACTCATCTTCCTAAGTAAATTAACTATTGCTGCATACTGAATCTCAAGGTAGAAGACAAGAAAATTGTCAGAGAAAATGACGGAGGAAGTAATTTTAGCTGGTTCTCAAAATCTAATAAGTGGATCTATTGTTCATCCTGTAAAGAAGAAGAGAAATCTTCCAGGCAACCCAGGTATCTTCCTTTTTCATCAAATTCTAATTCTTTCTTTTCCTTTATCTATCCAGCTTTACAATCCTGAGTATATTCAAGCCTTTTTGTCTTTCCATGTGTTATAATTAAATCATATATTTTAAATAGATCCTGAGTCTGAAGTAATAGCCTTGTCTCCAAAGACTCTAATGGCCACCAACAGATTTTTGTGTGAAATATGTGGGAAGGGTTTCCAAAGGGATCAAAACTTGCAACTCCACAGAAGAGGGCACAACTTGCCATGGAAGCTGAAGCAAAGAACAAGCAAAGAAGTGAGGAAGCGCGTTTTTGTGTGCCCCGAAAAAACCTGCATCCACCACCATCCCTCGAGGGCTCTGGGAGATCTAACAGGCATCAAAAAACACTTCTGTCGAAAGCATGGGGAGAAGAAATGGAAGTGTGAGAAGTGCTCTAAACGATATGCTGTGCAGTCAGATTGGAAAGCGCATTCGAAGACTTGTGGCACTAGGGAATACAAATGTGACTGTGGGACTATATTTTCGAGGTAATGTATTTTCCTCATACTCCTGAAACGATATTGTTTAGATTGTTGAATTAATAGCTACGGGAAGACAAATTATGAGAGATTATTTTGATTATCATATAGTTAAGTCAAAAATAAATAAATAAATAAATAAATAATGACTATTAGAGGTTCTTTTGCATATTGTTCAACTCCAGACATCATTGTATTCTGTTTATAGTATTTTTGATATGTAGTAGTAGACCGGATTTGATGATTCCATTATGGAATGAACAAGATTTCAACTTTTTTTTTTTT